TTTATTAGGTGGTATGCTGTGACTGGTATGTCAATATAAAAACTCATTGTGCGTACTTTAATTTGAATCTGTACAGTTTGTGATTTTTTTCTATAGTGTACAATCTACGATAGACGATAGATGGAGTTCTTCCAAATACAAAATTATGTTTCAGATCTTCTCAATCTTCATTCTAGATTAAACAAACGTACTGCATGTCCAGATATCTCGAGCTCAGAACCAAAAAAAACTCATGAGTGTGACAATGTATTTGTCTCAGGCAGAATATTTGAGATATTTAAAGAACTTGTGGTGTATATATCACCTGTTCGCAAGATTCTAACAAAAAAATTACATGCCCAAACTGTGCAACTAGGTGACAAAAACATCCACAGCAAGACATAAAAACAGAGAAAAATCTTTCTGGTGAGCACAAAATATTGGTTACACGGAAAAGAAGCAAAAGTGTAACAACAAAAATAACACAATTAACAATTTTATTAAATATGAGGAAAAAAACTCACTAAATGGGAGGTGCAAACACAGCAGAAACTATCAGGTATTCTTATATTTGGAGTGTGAATACTATACTATACTAAAAGGAGACTAAAGTTGTATACATATATATATATATTTATATATACACAGTAGTCCCTCGCTACTTCGCAGTTCATTTATCGCATTTATGGTTTTTCAAAATAAGATTGGACATGACACACAACTGGCTGATTGATGGATGAGCCACACGATAGGCATGGAATTTTTATTTAAAATAAATTATTTAAAATTATTTAGCACCTCCTGCACCGTTGTGCAGCCCATAATGCAGGATAAACTCCCTGCTGCACCTGAACAGCTGTTCACCGTGCAGAGCGGAGAAGTGGGCGTGGCCAAGAGCACTTGCAGGTGTCAAAGAGCAGAGGAGGCAGGGAGCTGAAATCATGACACCATGTGCTCTTTTAGGCGTTTAGAGTTTAGAACCATTGAATATTACAAGAGTGTGGGAAGCATTTAAAATACACATATATATATATATATATATATATATGATTAGAATCAGAATTAGCTGTATTGTCATTGCACCGAGATACGAGAATATGTACGCACAGTCGTCCGAAAGATGGACGCAGTGCACAAAGCTGCTGCTAATTAGCGCTGCCCTCTTATTCTTGGTCAGAATAATATTTTTGCTTAGATAAGAAAAAGGGAAGAAAACATAAGGAGAGACATTATTTAAAAAAAAAAGATCTCTCACACCATGTCCTAGGCATTAAAAAAACCTACCACAGCAAAACAACATACAGTAAATAGACATGATACATATAGGCCGGTGAAGCCATTGAATTTTAAGGGAAGGTCGTAGCATAGTCCAGAGCCCCCCCATTGTCCAGATAAGAGGTGTTATTCATCGCAGCTCCACATAATTCAGTTTGAGTGCTGCCAAGCTTCGACACATCCACACAGATTTGTAGACAATCCAGACTTCACCAACCCAAACAGCAGAATCCAGTTGTCATCATGAATCCAATTTGTTTCCGTTGAGGTAAGAGGGTCCTCCTTACCCTGATTCCTGTCGGGAGAAGTTGATCAATTTTGATGAGAGACCAGCTGATCAAATCCTTCGAATTAGGAAGGAGGCAGGGAAAAAAAAAGGAGGTTCTTTGAAGGGTTCACAAGACGAAAGAGAGCAAAGCAGGGAAGCGGGGGCACGGAGCAGAAGAGGGCACGTCAGTCTTCACCAGAGCACAGAGAGAAAAAAAATATATATATATATAAATAATAAAATAAACTACTACGTACTATTCCTACTTTGCGGTTTTTCACTTATCGCAGGTCTTCAGGGTACGGATCCCCACGATTCATTTATTCAACCTTTGTTTAGACAGGTTAATCCCATTGAGCCTCGAGGAATCATTTACCAGAGAAACCTGATTAATAATAATAATATATAAATAGAATAGGCAAATTAATAATATATTAATATAAAATTAATAATACAATAAACCAGGGACTACTGTTTTTTTTGTGTGTGTGTGGGGGGGGAAGGTGTCGCCACAGTGAACTAACTCACATGAAGACTTGGAAATTGTCTTTACGCCGGATGTCCTTCCTGACGCACCCACAGACCACCGAGCTACCACAGCCCTCTATGTGGAGCAGAGGACTGCCATCTAGGACATCCAGCGTGGGGGTTAAGGGCCTTCTTCAAGGGCCCAGAATGGGGCAAATGAGGGTGGAGGCTGGTGTGGGTGCCTCACCTTTCCTACCCACATTTTGATGCTGTCGGTCCAGGGGCTTGAACCAGCAACCTTCCGATCCCAGACTCGCAATCTTCACCACCTTTTTTTTTTTTTTTATTCTACTGCAATCTCAACAGTGGAGACCATAAAATATGTTTTTGACTGTCACTTAAATTTAAATCAGACTCTGTCTCCGACTTGTAAAACAACATTATGATAGGGAAAACTAATTTTCCAAATATTGAAAAAGTAATAGGAACTGAATGTGTTTGATTATATGTTACAACGGCTTGCCATCTTTTTCGTTCCCTGTCAGAAACAAAGTACAACAGCAGCATATTTATATTTGACATTTGAATTAATCGTTACGTGGCCCTATTTGTGTCATAAATAATGATCTTTACTAACGTCTAAAATCGTAGCCCGGACAACGCAAAGCTCCGGGACCGTTTGCGGTTCAGTTTATCACTTCAGGTGCGTCGCGTCCCGTGAAGGAAGAACCGTCCTGCAGCGTCCGCATCTCAGCATCATCCATCCCGCCTGGCGCTGCGGGTCTAACGGCGCGAATCACAGAGACAGGCTGACTAAGGACCCGATAGACTCGATAAACGCGAAACTTGATTCAGTAACGAGGCTGTTATAATGTCCCGAGTAAAGTTTAGGACGAGTCCCACCCGACACCTGAAACCGAGAACTCACCGTCAAACGCCATGATGCTCTGTCCTGGACTGTACCATCTGAGAGCGGGCGGGGGTGTGGCCATTCATGATCTTGTGGGGTGTTTGCGTTTGAGTCAGTGTGTAGGAATTTAAGGTTTCAACTTGGGCAGCAATTTTATTAATAACAAGGAAGTAGATGGGAAATGAGTTGGTAAGCTAGTAAAACAAGTGCAAACTGCGCTGAGAATTGTCCTAACAATTTTTATTTCCATTTGAGAATTATTGTGCAATTCTGACATTAACTGAAATGCTGTATTTACTATAAATAAGTTTAAATTTGATTGATGTTTTTCCTTCTTATGCCACTTTGTTATAAAAGAGCAGCTGTGTTTATTCTTCTAAATAAAGGCTTTTTTTATAAAGAACATAAAAAATGTCCTAAAATTAGTTGTTGAGCTCAAAAAGATGTTTGCAGATGACAATTTCACCTTGTGTTTTGAGATGTCTGATTTTTGAACTGCGTAGCAAATTTGGTATTCCTCTTGTGCAACACATTTGATGAAAAAGGCCAAATTGGAGAGCATCCTGTGCTCTAGCATCAACGTGTGACATGGAGGCTGCACAGCTGGAATGAGAAAAGCTTTGCAGAGAGCAGTGAATGCTGCACAGAGGACTGTTGGAGTCAGCCTCACCACCGTCATTGACATCTACACCTCTAGATGCAGGAAGAGGTCCACCTGCATCATGAAGGACCCCACTCACCCAGTACATACACTTTTTGCCCCGCTTCCCTCAGGAAGGAAGTTGTGGAGCTTTAAGTGTAGAACCATTAGACTGAGGAACAGCTTCTACCCTGAAGCTGACTCATCAATCCCTAACCAGAAAAATCACTGTAATGCCACTTTAATTGGTGATATGTCACTTTATCTGGGCTTCTGATTATCGATGCTGCTGATTTCTTGCCTTTAAACTGCTGTATTCATACCCATCTGCTCCAGTGGTGTTGTCTACATTTTTGTAGTGGTGATACTGTGCTTAGAAACCAAAATACACCGGTTAGTACAATGTAGTTGTCAATTTATTTTGATTTCCCCAAAGCTCCTCCCTTGGAAGAGGAAGATAATGGATGGATATATGCTACATATACACATACACACACAGAGACATAATCGTGTTTATTATTATAAATTATTTTCTTTTTAGTTCAAAGTAAATTGGACAACATGTGAAAGTTCTTTAGGCTTTAAGTGGCTCATGTGAATATGAATGTTTTAAATTGTTCTTTCTTCTTCTTTTTTTTTACAATTTGCGTTATTTGAAAAAAAAAATAATTTAATATAAAATAATGTGACCAAGAATTGTTGTTTAATTATGGTTTTGCCGTTTATTGCTCTCAAAACTTCGAACTGGTGGCTTCAGACTTTACTAATACTTTTGAAACGTCCAAATATAAATATCCGGTCTAAACTTTTATTCTGAAAACCCCCTTGTTCCGCCGATGCTCTGCGTCACTCCCGCCAGCTTCACATAGCTGGAGACAGAGAGAGGGCTCGTGGTGGCACGCGCCTGGCAGAATACAAACAGACCCCCACCCCCTTATAAAAAAGAAAGAAAGAAGAGGGACACCACTGTTCGCTGAGGGTGTTTACGATGCATTTCACCTCGACGTTTCAATATAATGACATGTGCAATATGTCACGTATCATGGGGCACTTTTAAGTGGGTATACAGAAATTCCCAAGCTTTTCTAGTGGGTATATGTCGTATACCAGCGTATCATGTACACTACACCACTGATGCTCACAACAGACTCATGTTCAGGCTGCTGTTTAATACGCCATATTATTTTACATTATTAGCATATATCTTAGACTCTTGCATACTGTTTCTTTTTTGTACTTTATATTTTTGCTAGTTTGGGGTGTAACTGGGAACTTCAGTACACAACTTCGTTCCACCTCATGTGCCACATGTGACGCGAATGAACCTTGATTCTAGTGCTGATTCAACTACCGCCCGAACAGAACAGCCAATCAGAGTGCTCAGTCTGATCTACGTCACTAGAGTTAGACACACCCACCGGGCTTCCTCCTCCTCTGCATTTCCGTGAAGTTTTCTACTACTGCACGCGCAGTTTTCACATTCTGTACTCGACTTTTTCAGAGTTCCGCAGAAGCCGCCGGTCTCCGAAGAGTATTTGTTAAACAAAATGAGTGAAATAAAACCTAACGACACATCTACAGCTGAAGACAAAGGCGATGATAAAGACTGGGCAGCGGCCAAAGCTTTTTTTGACAACCTCAAAACTAAAGTCCCGAGACCGGTAAGCTAGTTCAGCCCGAATATTAGCTAAAAGGTGCTCGCGTCACTTTTACTGACAAAAGAAAGAACTTTGGAGTTGCTTTAACTGTTGTTTTCTTGTTGGGAAACAGCCCAAACCGCAGAATGCCGTGACCATCGCCGTCTCCTCTCGGACCCTCTTCGACCTGGTGGCGGAGAGGAAAGTCTTCTTGGAGGAGGGAATGGAGAAGTACGTAGTTCATCAGGTGGAGCATGAGAACGAGCCTCTGAAGCCAGGAGCAGCTTTCCCCTTCGTTAAGGTAGGCCTGAGCCTCAAGAAGGGGTCTCTGCAGGCAAATTCGGAAGGCGTATCTGGGCGCTCATATCTGATTGGACTATAGGAAAGTGGGCGTATCTGGGCGGTCATATCTGATTGGACGATAGGAAAATGGGCGTGTCTGGACGGCCACATCTGATTGGACGATAGAAAAATGGGCGTGTCTGGACGGCCACATCTGATTGGACGATAGAAAAAAAAAAGGCTGAACGATAGAAAAAAAAAGGCTGAACGATAAAATGCCGTAACCACAGACACATGATGTCTAAAAACAAGGCGTTATTGGCAGATTGTGTTAACCACAGGCATATTATGTCTATGGTGTTAACCGGTTCGACATTAGCGGCGTCTCGGTTCGACATCGCTCCAGTATACTGCCGCGGCGTCTCCATAACTTCTTTTTTCGACTCTCTTAACACAGATTTTCCGGTTACATTTCAAAATAAGAGCAACATAACTGGGTAGTGGGGAGAGCTAAATGTTAGGTTTTTTTTTAATACCTAGCCATAACATTAAAAAAACAAATTCCATTTTGGTTGTTGAAAAATGTGAACAAAGTTACAATCGATTCATAAAGAAAGAAAAATATTAATGATACTTAAACTGGCCTTGGGACAAAGGAGGTTTCCTTTAACTTCACATTTTCCTGTTCAACCTGCAGTCACTGCAGATGAGTGATTGTCAGTTTCTGTAAGATTTCTGCAACTGGAGCAGGTATTTCTGTTTACTGGTTAACTTCCTCAGCTGTCTCACATTTTAAAGGTCAACCCTACTCCATGTTTCAGTAGAAAACCAGCACATTTAGGAGTCAGTACATAACCAGACTTTTGGCCCTCACACCTGTACCCAGTTGCTCATGCTGCATGATGAGATCAGATTTATCCATATTTTAGAAATTACATTTAGCTTAGTCGACAAAACAATACAAATGAAGACTGTCTGTCTTAAAAAAAACTCTTGGTTTTGCAGTAAGCAGCCTGATTTCAAACTGACATCTTGGCCAAAGGTAAAATAAAAATCTTTGTGTTCTCAGAAAAGTTGTTTCAGGACCTCCAATAAACTTATGTACACATCAAAGCACACAAGACAGATTCAGGAATTGTCTTTGTTTTCCAGATTTCACATTTGTTATTACCTTAAAACATACTCAGACAACATTTGATGCATCATTGAATTTTTTTTATTGTTTATTGGGACATCCATTTTTAGAAGTCATCGTAGCATCTGTTGGAAACACAAAACATAGTACAGTTAGGGTGTTGCTAGTTGTTACTTATTGCAATGTGTGGGCATCACAGTACAAGAGCTAGACTACTAACCCTGCATCCATGGCACCAAGTGGCTGCAGTACCCAGGAGGAATGGCTTCACTGTGGAAGGCCCTCAGCTCGCCTCTTTTGCCGCTGCCCCAGAAACCTGCAGCACAGTCTTTAAATTCTTCTCCACAGCTGAAGCAGACAGAAATGACATAAGGCTTTCTGTGCTCAGCCTGAAACTCTTCAGAATATTTCCTCCACTTCACAACACCTGAAATTGTAATAAAAATATGATTAGATCACCAAGCACAACATTTTTACAAAATAGCAGTTCTACACGGCCTGGGCTGTTTTCCTTCCCCAATCTATTCAAAATGAATACCAAAAGTTAATTTTGATATTTTTTTCACAAGAAAAAAAAAGTTGATTTCTTAAAGTTTAACTATAAATGAAGGAATTTGTGCATTCAGGTAATTGAAAATTAAGTAATTTCTCTAACATCCAACCCATTTTAGCCACTGAGCCATACCAAACACTCATAATCTATTCTTGAATGAATTATTGACTATTATTGACAAATTACAGACTTATTATTGAATAAGTTATTACTCATTATTGAATCATTGACAAATTACACTCATGTTCGTGTTAACTCATGTTGCAACAAGGTCAGCAACTTTTGACTATTACTATGAACTATGTTAAACTTTGGAGGTGATTTATTTTGAAAGTCAACATCAGATGTTGGTCAACATTGTTGAGCAACATCTTGGGGTCTTCTAGAGTCAGTCTGAAGTGAGAGTGGTCCCTGACATGGCAGAAAGACATAGATATAATTAACAGCTTTTATTTGTTTGTTTTTCAGCTAATAACAACTTTTATTTATTTGTTTTTCATATTTTTCAGTTATACACAGCTTTTAAATATTTATTTTTCAAGTATTAAGAACATTTATTTCAGCTTTTATTTTGAAAAGCAACACCCAGTTGTTGTAAACGTGCACAGTGAGAGCTGCTGTGGAGGCTCACTTTACCTCAGTGCGTTACGACAACAACGAGAGAACGGTCGAAACTATCGTGACCTACAATAAACGTACTTCAATAAAATGCATAAGTGAAAACATAACATACTTTATAAGTACAATAAATCATACTTCTTTGTCAAACATCGCAAAGAAACATTACCTCATCAATAATCCTCGTGACTTTGAGGGTTACCCATAGCCAATCAGTGTTCGCCGCCGACAAACGCCTATTAAATACTGTTAGCCAATCAGTGTTCGCCGTCCATAAACGCCTATTTGCCAGAAACGCCCACTTTTGGTCTGCAGAGACCCCCTTCTCCTGAGCCTCTGTCTGCAGGGTGTGGTCCTCAGGGCTGCTACTGACACAGGTACTGATCAAACACAAGGTTCTGCAAGGCTGGACCCACCTGGCACCACATCTCCTGACAAGTCGTGTCAGAACCACAGTGATCCCAAAGATCATACAACCCCCTCTTCATGTTATTACTAGGCATCTTAAGAAAAGTCATTTCAGTTAAAAAGTCCAAACTTTCAAATGGTCCGAATTTATCATGTCAGCTAGACGATAAATGGAATTCTGGGTTTGTTTTTTTGTTTTTTTCCTTTTTATGGTCAATGGCCAAAACCACAAATAAAGATGTTCTTTAAGGGGCCGTCCCCGTCAGGTGGAAAAACGACAAATTCAGTGTTTGCAGCTGAGACGGCCCTCGGAGTAACTTGCCTATTGTTGACACAGTAACGGTGCTGATCAAACACATCCACCATGAAGAGTTAGATTTTTTTTTTAAAGCTTGACCCACCTGGAACCGCACCTCCAAGCAGGTATTTACCGGTAGTTTTGATTAATGTCAGAACCACAACGATTCCTAAAAATGCAACTTCCCTTCACAATATTACAAACATTTGCTAATCATCTTTTCATGTTGGGTGGCACAGTTGGTAAAGCTGCCGCCTCTCAGCGAGAAGGTCTAAGACCAAATCCTGGCCCGGGGGCCCTTCTGGGTGGAATTAGCATGTCCTCTTCGTGCGTGCGTGGGTTTTCTCCAGATACTGTGAGATATTTGGTCTGTGGGAGGAAACCAGGTACTCCAGTTTCCTCCCACAGACCAAAAATACAAATGATAGGTTGATTGGTAACTAAAAAAAATGTCAGTAGGTGTGAGTGAGAGAGTGAATGGTTGTTTGTCTCATTCGTCTGTGTCCGTGTGATGGACTGGAGACCTGTCAAGGGTGTCCCCCACCTCTCGCACAATGACTGCTGGATATGGGCACCAGTGACCCCCCGTGACCTGAAAAGGAAGAAGCGGGTAAAAGATGATGGATGGATCTATTCATGTTCCTTTTTTGGGTCATGTGGAGCTGGTGTCCATCTCCAGCAGTCACAGTGCAAGAGGCGGGGGACACCCTGGAGAGGTCGCAAGTCCATCACAGGGACACAAGTCGTTTTTGCATTGTCCAGTCTCCGCACAACTCGCTTCACCTGACCTGACTTGGTTGTACACGGTCTCAGTGGTTTTCCATATCTGTGAGTGTCGACGTAGGGGGGTCGATCGAGTTAAAGGTTACCTTTTTTCCTTCACCAGTCAAAGTCCAAAAATCAAGTCCAGTTGGTCTTAGCTCCGTATGAATTCGGCCTTCAGCCAAAAAGTAAGGAACCGTCTGCACTTCTTCATAGTACCACAGTGTTACCACAGTGTTACCACAGTCTTACCACCGTGTTACCACAGTGTTACATGTATTATATGTATGTTTTTAAAGGGGAGTGGTGGCGCAGAGGTTAGAGAAGGTGAAGGCCTGTGATAGGAAGGTCGCCGATTCAACTCCCCGTACCGACAACTTCAAAATGTGGGTGGGAAAGGTGAAGCACCCACACCTGCTTCCACCCTCATTTGCCCCATTCTGGGCCCCTGAGCAAGGCTCTTAACCCCCACCATTTGCTCCCTCGGGTGCCCTAGATGGCAGCTCTCTGCTCCACCCAGAGGGCTGTGGTAGCTCTGTGATTGTGTGAGGAAGGGCATCCGGCGTAAAAACAAATGCCAAGTCTTCATGCGAGATAGTTCACTGTGGTGACGCCTGAAGAAGGGAGCAACTGAAAGACAAAAAGTAAAAATAAAAAAAAAGTATATTTTTAAAAGTGATTAACAAAAATGAATTCTGCTGTTGCGTAGTTTTAAAATGGTGGGTTTGATTCTTGTGAAGGAGACTCTCCTGACTGATGTCTCACTCTGGCCAATCAATGTCCTGCAGTCTGCTGACGTCCAGTCTTCAGCTCCAATAGACTCGTTTGGAACCGCGGCCGGGCAGGTCCAAAGAACCGAGCTGAATGTGGGTGGGACCTTAATGGCAAGACCTGAGCCGGCTCGTCCCGAGTTGAGCCCATGGAAAAGTGGCAGCAGAGACAAACAACCGTTCACACTTACCGGTAGTTAGTTCCCGGTTTAGCTAACATGCGCATTAAAATAACTTCCTCATAAAAATGTTGTTAGAGTTTAAGACAAACCGTAAAACCACTTCACCTTAAAACACACTGAAGTAGTCATTCATCATTCTCTATAAAGTGTAAGATGTTAATAGTTTAGAATTTCTTCGCAGCTGCTGCTGTTGTGACCTCGTAGAGGACGCTGTCTCTCAACGCCCGCCTCCTATCGTGTCCCCTCCTTCTCAGGCTCTGATGAACGTCAACTCTCGACTCCGAGAGCTGTACCCAGACAGCGAGGAACTGTTCGACATCGTCCTGATGACCAACAACCACGCCGAAGTCGGAGTGCGCCTCATAAACAGCATCAATCACTACGGTACGCTGAATCAAACGTTCTGATCGGGGCCGTTGAAGCTCGGACACGCTGCATCAGCAGGCGTCATCAGGGACGGCACTCGTATCAAACATCTTTCCTAATGTGCTTTTATTCTTTCAGGTTTGACCATAGAGAGGTTTTGTATGACGGGAGGGAAGAGTCCTATAGGTTACCTGAAGGCCTACCTGACGAATCTTTACCTGTCCAGAGATTCTAAGAAAGTCACCGAGGCCATAGATGAAGGTAAGAGGAGCTGCTGTGACCTTACAGTCTAAATGTTTGCCACACATGCTGTTACTTTAATATTTTATAAAGTTAATTTTTCAGAATATTCTTTCACCAGCTGTGCCGTGTTTACATGGGAGTTTTACACGCGACTCATTCACACGTAGGGGTGAAGTGTAGAGCTCGTACTGAGCCGTGAGCTGGATGAAGACAGAGTGGGACTCTTTGCTGTGTCTGATAATAAACAAATAAAGTTCAAACACATTAACCTGAAAAATTACTAACAAAATTATTAGATACCTCTTACTACAGCCTTTTATCTCCTTTAAGTACAGTTGGAAAATAGAGATGTTTTTTTTCTGTAAAAATGCAGTTTGAATGCTGAGAGCTGCGTAACTTCACTGAAATGTGTTTAAGAAGCTAAAACTGAGGTACTAAATCTAAAAGAAGCAGAACACTAGCTAAAAGGTGCAGAACACTTAACGAACAGCCAAAAACAAACAATGTATAAACTAAAAACAGAAAGTTAGATAAAACATTTGATAAAAGTAGCACAAATAGCAAATGGTTTGATAAAAGTAGCAAAAGCTTAGCTACAAGCTAAACAATCTTCTTCTTTCAGCTGTTCCCTTCTTCAGGGGTCGCCACAGCGAACTAACTCGCACAAAGATTCGGCAAAAGTTTTTACTACTGAGTCCCTGACGCAACACAGACCACCAAGCTACCACAACCCTCTGTGTGGAGCACAGAGCTGCTATCTAGGACACCCGGAGGAGCAGATGGTGGGGGTTAAGGGCCTTGCTCAAGGGCCCAGAGTGGGATGAATCAGGGTGGAGGCAGGCGTTTAACCTTTCCCACCCACATTTTGATGTCGGTCCAGGGAGTTGAACCAGCAACCTTCCGATCAAAGGCCCACCTTCTTTAACCTCTACACCACCGCTCTCTTATGGCTACAATCTAAACAATATTGTAACTAAAAGTAGAAAAGGACTCACTAAAAGTATCAAAACACCAGCTAAAAGGAGCAACGGGTAAGCTAGAAGCTAAAAGGAGCAGAACGTTAGCTAAACGCTAAAAGTAGCTTAAGAACAAAAAGACTGAGGAGGTATCCGATCACTAGATTTTAAAGAGAGCAAAGTTTTTCAAGGAACTGAAGAGATCTCAATGTCTGTTCTATGGTGAAAATATATTTTGTATTAGTATAAATGTTACAAAAATCAAAAGTCATCACCTGATTGAGCTGAATATTTTACTCTATTAATATATAGAATAGAATAGATTATGCTGTAGCAAAAATAGAAGAAAAATGCAGAAGTTGTTAAATAACAAAAAAATAAAAACTTTGAATCAGCATTTAGAGAAATGAATATTTATTATGTTTGGACTATTTCTAGTGGAAAAACAAAACGGCTTTCTCAATTAAAAAAAAACATATTTTACAATAACTTATCAATATTTTGATAAATCCACTCACACAATTGTACAAAAGAGACTGAGTTTTGAGCTCGTTCAATGTTTCTGTTAATTTACTTTTTCATATGAATGTTCAGTGCCCTGAGATGACTTCTGTTGTGACTTGGTGCTAAATAAATAAACTGATTTGAAAAACCGAACGTCTGTAGAGGCAGGAAGCCGATACTTGCCTGCAGGCGAATTCCTGCAGCCGTAGATGTAAATTTCAAAGCACATTTTTTAACCGTTTCCCTCCTCCATCAGGAATTGCTGCAGCAACGATGTTTATGCTGAAATCGGACTCGGAGTTGAGCGACACTCAGCTGAGGGTGGCGTTTGATGGCGACGCCGTCCTCTTCTCCGACGAGTCCGAAATCATCGTGAAGAAGCACGGCCTCGACACTTTCTTTGAGCACGAAAAGGAGTTTGAGAACAAACCTCTGGCTCAGGTAATTTATTTATGTTTCAGTGAAGCATCTTGATATTTACCTTGAAACGCAGGACAATGAAGCTTGGTTGGAGGCTCACCTAATCATTTTGCCAGAACTGTTTATTTGTTTTTATGCAAATTTCCCCAAAAATGCATTGTTGTATAAATTGTAAATAAAAACAAAATGCAATAATTTGCAAATCTCATAAACCCATGTTTTATTCACAATGGAGCATAATGAACATATCAAATGTTAAAACGAAGAAATTGTACCAGTTTCAGAAAAAGATGAGGTGATTATTAATTCAGCAGCAGCAACGCATCTTTAAAAAGTTGTGACAGGGTAACAAAAGGCTGTAAAAGTAAGTAGCACGGGTACGAAACAGCTGGAGAAGCATTTGGCTACTGCCGATAATTAAGTTACAGATCAGTTAGAGAGCTGGGTATTAAACATTTATTTTATAGAGATGAATCTCTTAGAAGATGGACAGAGGTTCACCACTCGGCAAAAAACTATCTTTAAAAGAGTGGAACAACTTTGTGCTTTTCAACACATGGGGAGGATTTTTACATTCCCATCATCTACAGTTTATGTCAAAGTTTTATGGATCTGGAGAAATCTCTGAGCTCAAAGGACAAGGCTGCAATATCGGATGCCCATGATGCTCGGGCCCTCAGGGGTCACTGCATTAGAAACTGGTCCGATTCTGTTCACGGGCTCAGGAGCACTTCCACCAATCAATGTCTGTAAACGCAGTTCCACATGCTATACATTTTAAAGCTCTATCACGCAAATAAGAAGCACCATCCAGAAACGCTGCTGTCTTTGAACCAAAGCTCATTTAAAATGGACTGAGGCAAAATGGGAAACTTATGTAGTCAGACAAATGGAAAGTTTACAATTATTTAGAAAACCACAGATGTCATGTCCTCTGTACTAAAGAGGGGCGGGACCATCTGCTCGATTAAAAAACAAAAAAAAATGCCTCTCTGATGGTATGGGGGAGCATTTATACCTCTGACATGTGTAGTTTACACATCTGGAAAGGCACCTTCAATGCAGAAAAGTGTGTATATAGGCTTTAGATTAGAACAACATATGTTCCCATGTAGACAATGTATTTTGCAGGGAAGGCTTTGCATATTTCAGCAAGACAATGCTAAACACAACAGCATGGCTTTGAAGTAGAAGAGTCCGTGTGCTGAACTGACCTGCCTGCAGGTCAGACCTCACACCAATTGGAAACGACTGGAGAGCCAGGACTGTTGAATCCTGCATCCGACAAGAATGGGACTCTCCAAAACTCCCAGCAGCTGGTCTCTTCAGGTCCTGAATGTTTAAAGAGTCTCAACTTGAGCACAGCTGTATCTTAATATATTCTCAGCAGTAAAACTAAGTCTGTGCTCGTCTAAACGCAACCATCAGGCTCTGATTCCTGCAGGCTTTAGGAACCTGCTCAGCTTGTTACATGTGAATTTATTCAGTTGCTGTTTCTTTCTGTCCTGCCATGGTTCAAATCTATAAACACTAAAGTAAATTAATGTTCTTCTGACTGTTTTGCTGTGTAATATTTTGTTGATTCAGCTCCATTTTCTGCTGCTCGTCTGTTTTTACGCTCTTCATTTAAAACCAACTTTTTCCTTTTCCTTGTTCAGGGTCCTTTGAAGTGCTTTCTGGAGGCCCTCGGAAAGCTCCAGAGAAAATTCTATGCTAAGAACGAGCGTTTGAATTGTCCCATCCGAACCTTCCTGGTCACGGCCCGCAGTGCCGCCAGCTCCGGGGCTCGCGTCCTAAAGACCCTCCGCAGCTGGGGCCTGGAGATCGACGAGGCCCTCTTCCTGGCCGGAGCTCCTAAGGGGCCGCTGCTGCAGAAGATCAAACCTCACATCTTCTTCGATGACCAGATGTTCCATATTGAGGGGGCCCAGGAACTGGGAACCATATCCGCACATGTCCCTTATGGAATCGGACAGAAGTACCACAAGGGGAAACTCATCGAGGAGTCTGAGAAAAAGGAGTGATCCACAAAACGGCTCTGATGAAATGAGCACTACGGCTTCATGTGACCTACATTAGAAGAGATGCGCTCCAAATTATTTTTTTTTAGGGTGGAAAAAAATTTTCCCGGTATTTAAATATAACTTAAAGATTAATCTATTTAAAGAGAACAATGCGGTCCATTTTCATGTTAAACTCCTTTGAGTGGGTTTAATTCCTGAGAGAAAACGTATTTTCTCAGCACAGACATTATGGGCCACACACGGTTTCATTTTAAAAGTGGAAAAGGAAAAGAAAAAAAACTGCATCCAGTTTTCATTTAAGGGCTCATGTCAAACTTTCTGTATTTTACAGTTTACACAGTTTTTCTTAAAACTCAACCGCATTTGACCTCTTTATTTATTTGGCTATACAGTAGTCCCACGTTTATCACAGGGATCCGTACCCTGAAGATCTGCGATAAGTGAAAAACCACGAAGTTTATATATATCTATATATGTGTATATATATATATATCTATATATAGATATATAGATATATAGATAAATAAAGGTGTTTTAAACCCTTTCCACACTCTTGAAATATTCTAAACAATGTTTCTAAACGCTCTTAAAGAGCACAGAATGTCATGATTTCTGCTCCCTGCCTGCTCTGCTTTGCCACCTGCAAGCACTCTTGGCCACGCCCACTTCTCAGCTCTGTATGGAGAACAGCTGATCAGCTGCGGCAGGAAGTTTATCCTGCACTATGGGCTGTGCAAAGGTGCAGGAGGTGCTAAATAATTTAAAATCATTTAAAATAAAAATTCTATGCCCATCGTGTGGCTCATCCATCAATCAGTGTGTCATGCCCAATCTTATTTTGAAAAACCGCTATAGAGCAAGTCCACGATAAAGGAACTGCGAGGTAGCAAGGGACTACTTTATACATATACTGTCTTATGTCCTCTAGGTGAAAATTGTATTAGTTTTGGCAATATTACTAGACTTTAATGGAGCATTTTTATAAGGGGTGACTGCTGTATTTTATTCTATTGCAAGAAGCACTGATGCTGTTTTTATTCCGTTTCTTTTTTGGGTTTTAAGCCCAAGTCTTTACAACTTTAAGTTGAACTTTTGTATTGGAAAATTGAAAATTTCTACAAACTACGTGTTTTTACACACAGATCTAAGGAAAAAATGGGTTGCACAGTTTTGCTCACTGTTTTGTAAATGCTGGCGCTATCTGTACGTTGTACTTGTATCCATTTTCACACCTTCTTTGCACTTCTTGACCCAGGAGTATCGAGTGGCCGCGAGCTTCAAGCACGTTTTGGTTTAACCAAGGAATGTGGAGGAACTCCATTTGCTGGGGTTTGTCTGAGCTGGAAACTTACTCACTGGAAAAGTATTGAGGTATTTTTAGGTGTTTACGCTGCCTTTTTTACTCTATTTTAATCGGGAAATATGTTTTTATCTATTGTCCTTATGTGGTAGTTTACATTTATAACATGTTTAAAAAAATATGTAATGTATGTTTTTATGTAAAACATTACAGCTTGTGGCGTCTAAACTGACCGTGGCGTTTTGCGCTTTTTATTGGTAAGCCGCAAATAAATATAAAAGATGTATGAATTTGTTTCTTTCAAACTTGCATGTATTCAAACATAAGTTATTAACATTATTATTACAATTATAATAATAGCCCACTGTAGATTGGCAAATGTGGGCGATAATGTGTGCGTGTGTGTTAGAAAAATATATCTTGGACCACTGAACAGATTTGAATGAAACTCAGGACAGAATCATTAGATGGAAGTCTACACCTGATTAGCCTTTGGAGCTAACCAAATTCAAAATGGCTGCCACCGCCAACTGACCTTAGAAAACGCAAAAATAGCTACAACTCACTCCGTTTTTATATTTATTCAGCTCAGATTCGGTGTGGTTAAAGCTGCGGCACAACCAAACTCCTACACTTCACACTACTCAAGAACTCAAATTTAACATCAACTTTAAAGATGTGACGCTGTGGGAACTGGCTGCAACAATCTTTTTTGCGTATAAAATAAATAAAAGGGGCAAAAGAACACAGCCCTGAGGGGAACTGGTTAGAACAAAAGAACCCCGTTGACCCTCACCTGCTGGGACCGAACAGTTAAAAAGTCCACAAGCCAACGGATGAGGCCAGAGTCCAGACCGTACAGACGGTGTGATTTCTCTGCTAAAATGTGAGGCGGAATACAATTAAAAGCAGATGGAAAGTCAATAAAAGGCAATCTTACAAACATTTTTGAATCTTCAAGGTGTCCTAAAATCATATTTAAGAGTTCCTTCCTGTTGTGGCCTCCACTCCTCTACGTGAACGATAAGCAAATTGAAATGGGTGCAAATGATTTGTAACTTTTGGCAAGAGGACCTCCTGAACCAGGTTTTGAATGACTTTATTACTAAAGAAGTCAGGGCAACAGGCCTGAAGTGGTTCAGTGACTGAGCAGCCTTGGTTGTTGGGACTGGAACATTAACAGTCGTTTCAAAGCTGTGGGACCCTGTAGGTTTGGAGAGGCATGTTAAACAGAAAACAAAAAATGTCTGCTAAGCTGCAGGGTACAGTTCTTAAGATTCGGACCCCCTATTCCGTCAGGACCTGGACTTTTTCTTTCCTTTTAATCTTTTGAAAAATGTTAAACACATACTGTCAATATGTACTGTGGCACCTGACGGCACTTCTTTAAATCCAGAAAGCTCCTCGGTAAAACAGTTGGTGCTAAAACGATTGTAAAATGAATTTAAATCGTTTGACAGTTCCAAAGCAGACGAAGACCAAAGAGTAATGTGAGTTTTCTTATTTGGCATTCCCATTATAGACTTAACCAGGTATACTGTAAGGATGTCCCCTGGGTGCCTCCAGGTGCTCCAGGTATTTCTGAACAGGAAGTTGCCTCAGCGAAGATCCAGGACAAGCTAGCATACGTGTCAAACTCGAGGCCCGGGGGCCTAATGTGTCCCTCGTTGACATCTTATTTGGCCCCCAAGATGAAATGTGAGACGTAAAATACTTATATCTCTTGAATTTTTTCAGTAATCTTTGATTATGATGTTGAAAGCACAACAGAGAACATCAAATGAGCCCAATCAAACTCTTGTTGAGGAACCTGTGACCAAGAGAAGATGTCGGGTATCTATAACTTGAGTTAATGTAGTTTCTGAAATTGGCCCTTAGTTTGAAAAAGGTTTTAATTTTGGCCCCCGTTTGTAAGTGAGTTTGACACCCCTGAGCTAGAGAGACGGTCTCTGGACTGGCCTGGGAACGCCCTCGGGTCCTTCTAGAACATCTTGAAGAGGTGGCTGTAGAGTGGGCCTCCCTGCTTTACCTGCTGCCCCCTGTGACCCGACTCTGGAACTAGCTCAAGATAGTGGATGGATGGACGGCACGGTAGCTCAGCAAGAAGGTCGCTGGATCAAATCCCAGCCGGGGGCCTTTCTGGTTGCATGTTCTCTCCGTGCATGTGTGGGTTTTCTCCGGATACTCCAGTTTCCTCCCACTGACCAAAAACATGCATGTTAGACTGATTGGTAACTAATTGTCTCTAGGAGTGAGTGAGAGAGTGAGTGGTTGTTTGTCTCCATGTCCCTGTGATGGACTGGAGACCTGTTCAGGGTGTCCCCCCGCCTCTCGCACTGTGGCTGCTGGCCATGGGCACCAGTGACCCCTGTGACCTGAAAAGGAAGAAGAGGGTAAAGATAATGGTAAATGGATGTAATTTCAGTCATGTCATAACTTGTGTGTAGGTTTTTTTTTTTTAGACCGTTCTGTTATAACTTCACAAGTTGCTGCCAGTGACTAAAAAAAAAAAAAACAAAGTTGAAACAGGTGAATTGACTTGATATTACAGTAAATGTCTATGATTAAATAATCTTTAATAGATTTTTATTGACAAATACTAAACAAATACATTAGATTTTGTTTGTCCTTTCATCAGAAAAATGTCCCATGCAGAAATCTAATTTAGGATGGTTTAGGTCATCTTTGTGCATGTCTTTGATTTTTCCCACTGGAGTGAAGAATAAAATGACATTTTCTGCACATGCAGTTTGCTCATGCTGCCACTAGATGACGCTGCGTGGCTGTAAATACTCCTTTTTAAGTTCCCCATCAATAATCTGCAGCCTCTTTCCTGCTATCAGGAGTCATTCTCTACTATTAAAAATCCAATTCAAGCCAAGTTTATGCAATATATATCCCACAAGATCTCACTTATTAAAATTGTGCATTTCTTTATGTCATATTTGCTTCTGCGGCCTAATCTTCACATTATTAACAATATTCCTCAAATCAACAGGCTTCTAACAGAGAAGCAAAACGTAAACAACCATCAGTTTTTTACTCAACAGAGAGCAGACATTGAGGGAAATCACCCCCCCCCCCCCCCCAATAAACATCATACCAAAGAGCTTATCGAGCTTTGAGGGATTCATTTTTCCCATTTTTAATATCACCAGTCTCCCTGCAGGCCGCTTTTCCAGGCTCCTAAATCTCTCTGCCAAGCGCAGCAGAAACAACACAATGCAAATCACTTGTTCTCACTGAACATTAGGTCTGATTGGAAGTTAATGAGCTATCCTTCAGCTCCTGATGGAAAATCTGACGATTAGACTCGAACCAACGTAACACTTAGAGTGAGCTGTTTGTAGCAGGAAATGGCACGATTTGTAAAGATCAATTCACCGGTGCTTGTTATGTTTTTGCGGGATATTTATTATTTCATAACCTCACACAGAAATGAGGTGAACTGAAAGATGCAGTTATTTATAAATTGTCTGCAAAAATCTAAAGTAGCTTTTAAACCACCGTATTTTACAAGAGGTGAGAGGAATTCCAACGACTCTTTTAGCTATTTGATTTTCTGACAGTCAGTCTGCTGCTGCTTTAACCAGGAAGTGATGCAGCTGCAGTCGAGATGTTCTCAGCAGTGATCTTGTAAACAATGGTGGGGATGGAAGCGGGGGTTCTCACTTGTTGCAGTCTCCCGGGGGAGAACATCTTTAGAGTTTACAAGTGTGGCGCTGAGACTCCAGAGAAAGTGATGCAGATTCCCCAAGACTATGTGGTGCTGAGCATCTCCACATTCAATTCAATAATATTTATTAATCCCAAAGGGAAATTAAATTGTAACTCATTATCCTCATTTTATTAAGAGATGTTATAGATACTGATAACTGTAGGCAGGAAGAATCTTGTGTAAAGGTCTGTCCCACAACAGATCTGAAGAAACTGGCAGCAGATGACGTCCGATCTGTCCACCCAGACTTGGCTGGCCTCTCGACACCTCCAGGCAGCAGGACCACCCGAATGCCAGGCAGAACTCCTCCCAGAGCGATGGACACTCCTCCCAGCAGCCTGCTGAGCTCCTCGTCGCTGCAGACAGCCAACTGCATGTGCCGGAGGACAGTCCCGTCCTTCTGCTGTCACAAGCTCTGTTTCTTGCCAGT